TTGTGTTTTAGGGTAAATGGTATTTTTTGTAATTAACAAATCATTTAAGGGTATTTTTGTCTTTTAACATCTTTAGCCGCAGTATTTATCGAATGAACACTGAAAAACACGTTGTTCAGAAATTTGAGACGCTAGATGCCGCGGCTGGTCGTAGCGTTTAACCGCATGTGTCAGCGGCAGACAAACAAACACCACTAAATCGCACGCCGCAGCCGCTGACGCCGGCGTCAAGCAAACAAACATGCCCTCCATCGCGATTTTAAAATGGAATCGAACGCTACCATGATGCTTCTAAATTAGTAATATTTAAAATCATATCTCCGCAACGCTTCCAAAACATTCCAGTTTTGATTTTGGTTCTGGAGAGTGTACTACTACTAGATTTATATACAAACCAAATGAAATTAAAAGTTAAGTTAAACCAAATATCTTGAACTAAACCAGAAAACTGGTATACTATATGTGGAATACGATTTCACACACTTGCACTGCTTTTGTTTGTTTCTTCGATTTCTCCGCTCTTCTTCACTCTTTTGTTCTATATCACCACCACTTTTTTTTTGGTTTTCTCGTGTACAAAAATTCTTGTCATTGTGAGGACGGAGCAACTGTGGAATTTTCCTTACTCTTTGATTTTCTCGGAAAATGTCTGCAATACTCCAAGGAGCTGGAGCTACGACGGCTCTCTCGCCGTTCAATTCTATCGATTCCAACAAACTCGTACCTCCTTCTCGCTCATCTCTTTCAGGTTACCTCTCTTTTTTGGGCACGATCTTTATTTTTCATGTTCGTGGGCTAAATTTATTGACGTATTTGATAAGATCTTATAGTTAGTAGCCTTGTTGTCTGGGTTTTTGATGCAGTAAGGAGCAAGAGATCCATTGTTGTGGCTGGATCTGATGGGATTAAGAGCTTTGGTTCTGGCCTCATAACTCGTCGCTCTGAGCCGTTGATAGCAAATGCTGTTGCGGTATGCGTTTTTTTTATCTCCTTTTAAGGTTTCTCCTTCTCTTTCTTAAGAATCTTCAATGGATCTTTGATGGGTCTCGATTTTGCTCTTTTAGACGAAGGGGGAAAATGCTGCGACCTCTACCTTATCAAAGCCTGGGTATGTTCTGAATCCTTTGTTACTTCATACTTTATGGTTAAGGTGCTTTGTTTCATGCTTTGATTTAGCACTTTTGGATTCTTGATCATTATAATGGATGTTCATTGTGGAAATGTTAGTTCTCTCTAGTGTGGTAGTAAACGGTTTCAGTTTCATGGGCTCATCTGGGGGATTTTTAAAAAGGCTTATTCTACTATAATGCGTTTAGATCTGATTGAACACGCTTGTGGTTAGATTCATCATATTTGATTATGCAAATGCCTTTTGTTTTTGAGTCTGGTGGTGTCAGATCCGGGCCAATTCTAGATTAGGATAGAATCTCTGAGCCATACTTGGAGTAGTCATCTATTACAAATGGTGGTTATCATTGTAGATGATTAGAGGAAGAATCTATCTTAAGATGATTAGGTTGAAGCTTTTACATTCGAACATTTTAGCTAATTTCCCACATGGTAATCTCCTACGATACGAGCATTTAAGTGTCTGTATGGACAACTTGGAAAATCCTGCAACCGATTAAAGCTTATGGATACGTAAGATAATTGTGACTAATTTTAGGTATAAACTTCTGCAGACATGAGCTATTGCTTTTTGAAGCTCTTCAAGAAGGTTTAGAAGAAGAGATGGACAGAGATCCACATGTATGTGTCATGGGTGAAGACGTTGGCCATTACGGAGGCTCATATAAAGTAACCAAAGGCCTAGCTGATAAATTCGGCGACCTTAGAGTTCTCGACACTCCAATCTGTGAGAACGCCTTCACCGGTATGGGCATTGGAGCTGCCATGACAGGACTAAGACCCGTAATTGAAGGTATGAACATGGGGTTTCTGCTCTTAGCCTTCAACCAAATCTCCAACAACTGTGGCATGCTTCACTACACATCCGGTGGTCAGTTCACTATCCCGGTTGTGATCCGTGGTCCCGGTGGTGTGGGTCGCCAGCTCGGAGCCGAGCATTCCCAAAGGCTCGAATCTTACTTCCAGTCGATCCCTGGGATCCAGATGGTGGCATGCTCAACACCTTACAATGCTAAAGGATTGATGAAAGCGGCGATAAGAAGCGAGAATCCCGTGATTCTGTTTGAGCACGTTCTGCTTTACAACCTCAAGGAGAGTATCCCAGACGAAGAATACATCTGTAATCTAGAAGAAGCGGAAATGGTCAGACCCGGTGAACACATCACGATCCTGACGTACTCGCGGATGAGGTACTGAAATCACACAACCAAAAGCTCTTACTTTATTGAACTAGAAACAAATCAAAAGCTCTCTCTAGCTCTGGATGAATCGAATCGTTTCCTAAAGTAATATTTTATACGTGTGTTATCAGGTACCATGTAATGCAGGCTGCAAAGACGCTGGTGAACAAAGGGTATGATCCAGAGGTTATCGACATAAGGTCGTTGAAGCCGTTTGATCTGCACACAATTGGAAACTCAGTGAAGAAGACCCATCGGGTTTTGATAGTGGAGGAATGCATGAGAACGGGAGGGATCGGAGCAAGCTTGACGGCTGCGATAAACGAGAACTTTCATGATTACTTGGATGCTCCGGTGATGTGTTTATCGTCTCAGGATGTTCCAACTCCTTACGCCGGTACATTGGAGGAATGGACTGTTGTTCAACCAGCTCAGATTGTTACTGCCGTCGAGCAACTCTGCCAGTAATTTTTATTTTTACGGTGACTGTGAAATGAAAAATGCTCCTTTTTTACTGCTGCTTTTTTACGTTCTTTTTTGTTTATCTCTCGAATGGAAAATGCTTGTGAAATGATAAACTCAATGACTCTTTTTGGTTTTTTACATTGAAATTTTCTATTGACAGTTTCCATAATCACATACTTAGCTCTCTATCTTTTTTTTTTTTTGCTTTTCAGAAAACGATTTTATAACAACATTGTAAAGGATTAGGGTGATTAATAAGGATAAAAAGTCATTAATGGGAACAAACATTGTATAATCAGGTAAATTCGCTGCCGACGAAAAAGAGAGAATATACGCAAAGAAAGGGGTATAATTGACATTTCGTAATCTCCTCCCTTAATTATTGAATTGAAAGGAAGATGGGAGAGTCGAGCAATTTGGTAATACAGTCCCAAGTTTTGTGAGTCGGAACCAACACAGAGAGATCTAACAATGGCGGCTTTGACAAGCGCGTTGATAGCAATAGCAGGAGTGATATTGGGATGGATAGCTATAGAGATGGCTTGTAAACCTTGCCTGGAGAAAGGTCGTGAAGCCATCGACAGATCTCTCAATCCCGATTACGATCCCGACGATGAAGACGTCGACACATCCTCCTCCGATGTTCGTGCTCCTCTCATCACCAATCCACCTCCCGATCTCTCCGATCCTTCCGCCGCTGATCCCTCCACCGCCATCAAGTCAGTCTGATTTTTGTTTCTCTCTGTATTTTACCTGAATTTGTGTAAAAAAAAAACAAAAAAATCAGTTGATTTGCTCTATTTCCATTTGGATGCTTGTGTCTTTTTTACTGTTCTGATAGCAGCAATCAACTTCGTTAACAAAAGATCCGTTTTAGAGATCTAACCATACGATTAAGGGTTTTTGTTTTGTGGCAAGATTTGCGACTTTCTTGTTTGATCAACCACGAACAGCTTCCTACTTTGTTACTCACTATATCAACCATTCCCTCAAATTTTGCTTATCCATCATTACTCATCCCAATAATGTACAGTGTAAAAGAGATCTAATTTTTGAAGCTGTGGTGGTTAAATCGACAAAGAATTTGGAACACTAGAAAATCATTTGAGTGACGCCGAAGAATTTTTGGATACTTTGATTGGATTGATTGTTGAATAATTTAAGGTAATTACGATTCAGTTAATTAATTGGTTAATTTAATTGTCGACGTGCAGACACTGCAAATCAGTATCGTTTCTTTAAGTGTTTGTTGATAAGGCTTCATGGGCTTTTTGTATTAAACTCTAAAATGTTATGGGCCTTACATAAGTGTGCCTATATAAAACTCTCTATATTCCATCTTTACTCTCCAAATTAGTTCAAAATTCAAAT